CACGATTGGCCAGCAGTCGTAGCTCTTGTTCTCAAACGTTTGGAATCTATCAGTCGAGATGGATACGAAAATGTCCCGCTGCAAAGCAATCTCTCCACCATAACAATCCAACATTTCTTTGTAGAGCGATCCATCAGCGAAGTCTTCGAAATATGCACCATTCGAGTATTCGCTGGGTGATTCCTCTTGAGACCTGCGCAGAGAATCTCCATAATCGTGGAGCTCATTGAAACTTTTCTCGTCCGCGACCCAAGCCCGAATTCGTGAAAGAAGCGGGATATACCCAAAAGCGCTCCTAGTAAGTTTCGTTTTCTTTTCGAGGCATACCTCACATTCGAGGTCATGATCTTGGTCAGTACTGTCGCTGGCCTGATTGTCAGATTCAGTTGCTACAGATTTGTTGAGGAGCATATGGCCGCGACAGCATTCGTAGGAAATGGGGAACAGCTCAGTGTACTTCTCAAGATTTCGCTTGACAGTGACGGCAGTTATGTCGGCTTCAAGCAATTCAAGAATACGGTTCATCAATGTTTCCTTGACGCCGAGGTCTACGAACATCTGGATCCACATTGCTTTTCCCTTTGCGCCCAGACGTCGAACTTCGCACGAACGTCAGGTCTCCATCTATGAGTGGGGATAGATTGCAACATCAGTTCCTTCAACTGTCCATCAGTAGCCATAGCTGTGGTCTCACTAGATCGCATGATTCGCGAGTCAGAATTTAGCAATGTGTCACGACCGCGGCGTCCTACCTCTGTGCTAAGAATAGGTTGATTTTCGGCGTGACTATAACCTTCTTGTTGGTCATCTTCAATTTCGTGCTGGTCGTCAGGGGCAGGTGCAGATTTAGTATCATCCTACAATACCCTTTCCTCTTGACCAAAAGCAATTGCAAGAGGACAGGAATTTTCTGGTTGAGTGCGTAGAGCGGCCAAGGAGCGCGCATCTGAACTGCATGACACTCGAAAACATGACACATCTCCATGAGAGCACATACCTTCATCTTCCTGGGACCGATTTTGGTTTGTCAGCGGTATCAGGCTGTTTCCGATAACAATTGGGTTCGTACTTTCACCACCAATGTTCTCTACAGAAAATTTCATTACATCATTCGTATTTGCTCCGGTTGATGGGGATTGCGGATCTGAACCATGGCAATTCATTTCAGCCTGGCGCGTTCCAGCGGTCGCCGAAAAAGCCGATCCTGGGTGAGTAAGAAAAATGGGCGGAAGAGCCTCCTCCTCCCGCGGAAGAAGTCTGAAAATTCTGTATTGTTCTGCCGATGCATCCTCGGAGTACCGAGGTCCGCGAGAAAGGGGCGGCAATCTGATAGATCTCCTTTTCATATTTGCGTCTTGTCGATGGCACTTCATTGTGCTCTCACTTACAGGCTTTCCTACCGGTCGACATCGGCACCGATACATTGCCAGACAAATCCGCTTTGGTCGCATTGTGAGGCTTAGTGAAGCTGTAGTTAGTCGCAAAGAGGTTAACGCACAAATGATGGACAGCTGATCCTATTCAATGAGCATATTGATATCAAAATATTTCTTAGACTTACAATGTGATCATCTTATAATACGCAATATAAATGGCTTAATAAAGAGTGTCATATACAAACTTTGCGAAGCAGATTTCGTTTCAGTGAGGTCGACCTAAGATCTTGCGTTTCCATCATATGATACATTCCACTTACGTTCAGAACGAACCTTAGGTCATACAACGTCAAATCGCCTTGCCCCGCAAGATCAAAGTCTTCATTCCATCTAGATTTCTTCCTACTCCTTCCATAATAATGACGCGAAACCCATCCCTGAGAAGCTCTTCAAACGCCAGTTCACGAAGAAAGATGCAAAAAACCCTACTGCCCCTCGTGGAAATGATGTTTACCGTAATTTCAACGTCACAGTGAAGCTAAGGAAGCACATCACAAAGGAAAACGACAAGCACCCAAACGATCAGGATGTGAGTTACTTCTGGTTTGATGATCACTTTACCGATGAGGAACACAACAAACGCTCGAAGAATATCATAGACGACGTTCCCCGCGCACAGCTCGGGTCCATCTATGGCAGTATGACTTACTCACAGTGTCAACATCATATCGGACAGAAAATGGAATGTGCCATTGAAATACTCGCCAAGCATGCGCAACTTAGGTTGTACACGCAGACGGATAGAAACATTGCCCTACGAAAGCTTGTCATGCAGAAGATGGAGACGAAACATCGCACTCATCGTGAGAGAATGAAGAAAGAGGCATAGACGGCATGTGCAGCAGCATCCAGAGTTATTGGGAATCCCCCGGCAGAAGAACAAGACAATGGAAGGAAAGATGTGGCAAATGTTAAGTCATCTAATTTCAAGAACTCGACGACGTCGAATGCCAAGAGTACGATACAGGGAGAACCACAGACGCATTCGGATAGTGAGCGCGAGGGCCATCGTATGGTTGAATCATTGGCATTACCTGCCACTGGAGAAGAGTCTGACAATTAGCCGGCAACCATGGTTGATATTTCTGTAAGCACCGCTAAAGACACTGCATCACTTAGATCCATTCACACAAGCAAAGCTGTTTCTGTATCGCTCCTTTCTCGTTCAGGTGTAGAAGTAATCGATAAACGCGAAGTACTTACTGCAATCCCGAATGAGCTCATCGAGATTGAGAAGCAGGTGAAAGCACTGCGCAAAGCGAAACGTCGTATTGAACAAAAGGAAGCTTCGTCTAAACCACAGACCTCTCGTCCTGCCGGCCCCTCTGGAAACCGGAAGATGAGCTCGAGCAAGCGTCGTAAGACTCTAGCTCCTCGACGCAAAAACTGATGGCTGATCACTGAATAATTCCAACTTGTGGAACTCGATTAATGCACGTGCAGGAGAAGACTTGCAAATAGTTGATCGCCCTGCAGTACCGTAAAAGTTGTAGAAAATGTGCGGATCTGAATGCTGTTTATCGCCCGCGAGAGATCAGCCTGTTTTGTTCACTTTTGATCAAGTCTGAATTTGTGACTGTAACTTGAAGGCGAGGAATACAGCAAGTGACGCATCATAGATGATGACGATGCAGGGAAAATTTGAAATATTTCCGTGCTTTGGTGTCCTTGATTGGGTAGATACAAATCCGTATCTACACCGTGACACAACTTGTCGTTACGACACACATTCATTGTAAAGTTAAAAAACAAATAAATTCCTGAGCTGGGCGAATAAACCGCCGTCAAGCCCACAGATCAAACCCGCCGTTTTCCACCAGCACCACCTCTGGGGCGCCGCCTTCCAAGCCCGCATCGACACGGAGATTGTCACAGCCGCCACCTCGCGCCACGCCAACGACCCCATCGTCGTCGACCCGCTCACTCGTCTCAACAAGCCCCCCGTCCCGCACCCACACCTCGCCCGCACGCCCGGCACCTCGCGCCCGATACGCGTCGGCTACCTCTCCCGAGACTTTTTCACACACTCGGTCAGCTACTTTGCAGACGCCCTGCTCACCTACTATGACCGAGACGCTTTCAGGTCTACGCCTACGCAAACGTCGCCCAACTCGACGTGAAGACCGCCCGCTTCCGCACCCTTCGCTCGGATAGGTGGCGCAACATTTGGGGGCTTACCGCCTCCGCGGCCGCCGCCCTCATCGTAGAGGACCGCATCGACATCCTCGTCGAGCTGGCCGGCCACACGACAAACAATCGCCTCGACATCATGGCCTTGCGCCTCGCCCCCGTCCAGGCCACTTGGATCGGCTACCCCAACACCACGGGCCTCCCCTCCATCCATTACCCTAGCAGAAATTAAATTCAATAAATTGTCGATTGTGGTCATCTACTGGTTCATAATTGGTCAACAGTGCATTGAATTGTCCACTACGGGTCCCCTTGGATGGGCGCGATCCCTGTTTCGCCCCACCAGTTTCTGTGCATAGTTGGCCAATGGCCCATCGGGAACGCCATTCCTGACCATTTATTTTGTTCATCGATTGGCACTGACCATTCTCCAATTTTTGGGAACCATTTATTTTTGGCCAGGTGCCCTGGGACTGACCAATGCGACGCGTAGACGACCATTTGTGTCCCTGGGCAACGTTACCAGAAATGGTCCATGAGTGGGACGGAGAACGGGTTAGGGAGTTTTAATTGCGATGAATCTGGAGGGTGATGGGCTGGGTGAGGGAGTGCAGCGTGGCCTTGGCTATGGAGTAGGCCGAGCTCAGCGTGGCCTTGATGCTCTGCTTTCCCCCCACATGAAGCCGATGTTGACTATGCTGCCGCCCGCGCCGCGCGAGATCATGTGCTTGGCGACGGCTTGCGTGGCGAAGTAGGTGGCGCGGTTGAGGCCGTGGTACAACTGCGCGCGAGAGAAGCGAAGCGTTGGTGGACATGACAAATTTGTGAGCACGGTGGCGTATCGTGGAAAAAACGAGGTGAGTGCAGGAGGATTCAGGCGGACTTACATCGTAGTCTTCTTCCGTGCAATTGACGAAAGGCTTCGGGCGAAAGATGTTGGTGGAATTGATGAGATGGATAATGCTGGCGTCGTTGGGCATGTTCTCAATGCGTGGGATGAGAGTTTTGGTGAAGTCGCCCCAGTTTGGCCAAGTCGACGAGGCAGACGTCGACAACAACGTCCTTGGCGGCATGCTCTGGCAGAAGACGCTGAGCGTCGACGAGACGGGCCCCACTGCGGGAAGCGAGGATGAAGGAGACGCCGCGACGCACAGCGAGACGGGCACAGATCAGGCCGATGCCGGAGCTGCCGCCTATGGGGAGAGCGGTGGGGCCAGGGGTGGTGGGCTGCATTACTGGTTGTGAGGCGGGGTTTGGGGTGAGTGGTAGAGATGAGTGAAGTGAGAGGTGTGGATGCATTGTGAGTGTGTGCAGACAGGTGAGGGGGTATTTACACAGGGAGGAAAGGGAGGAAGGGGGCGACGAGGGGGAGGGGAACGGGGAATGTGTGCATGGTGGGAGCGAGGACGGGTTGAGATCGTTTCTCTCTGGGCCATGGGGAAAGGAGGGAGGAGATGCAGGGGAGTTCTTGTGAGGGTGGTCGAAAGAAGAAGGGGTACGGGATGCTGTAGGAGGAGGGAAGGAAACAGGGCAGGGCAATTGATTGCGGAGTCAAGCGATTTTATTGAATGTGTGGCGCGCGTGAGAGTAAAGTGGCGCTTGTCTCCTTACGCCGCCGTCCGTGCCTTACGCCGCACCATCTTTCCCCTAAATTACGCATTCCATGCGTGTAAACAGATGCCTCTGCTGTTTCTACACAAGTTGTTAAGTCCTACATGCTGCAACACATGTGCATCGCACTTGCTCCGCTGCCGCTGTGCATCTCTACAATGCGCTGTCTTCCTTCTTTAAGAATACTTTATTTAGAGAAGTCGTGAGTCCAGAGTCTTCGACCCACACCCTCAGCATCGCCAATCTTCCTCAAATATCACTCCCAGAACGTATTTCTCATGTCCCCTACAGACTGACTTCCGAACCCAGGGCAGTTGTCTATTACACCCGCTAAGCAGTACAGATATGGCTCTGAGCAGTTCACTCAAACCGCTCCCCAAGCCCTTCGCACGATGCCCGATGATCTCGACCTCCTCTACTCTAGCACGCATTTATCGTTGCTGAACATGCGTCGGCCTCCTCCTGTGCGACTACACCATCTCCCCCTGCCCACCACGTTTCCCCTCTCCCTCCCATCAATATCCTCCCACCTATCAAGCATCACAGATACCTTCCCATCGTCCGCCCAGTCATGCCCGTCTCCAATGACGATGCGCCTTCGCGACCCTTGTCCAAAGCCCGCGTCTTGGTCACCATGGCCCAGTCCAATGCTGAGATTCACATGGAGATCCGTCGTGCGCAGGGCGACCGTCGCAATGTTTTACTCACACAGGCATCCATGTTCAAGCATTTCACCAGTGAAGATGACGACTGCCGTCGGTTCGAGAAGACTCGGTTGACGCTCTTTTTGCAGTTCTATTTTCCGCAGACTTGTAAAATCAATCGTTGGGTCTTGAGCTGCTCCGTTCACCGCCAAGTCCGTTTTCAATATCCGTGTACTGCCCGAAAAATGCCTCAACGTTCGCCTCTTCTGAGATTTATGGGTTTCTGCGCTCTCCTCCATCTCCTCCGGAGACAGCATCTCTGCTCGCAGGCCAAGGATCCTTCGATCATCCGCGTCACTGACAGACTCCGAGGTGCTGTCACCGTTCGACATGCGAAGGATGTTTCGTGATACTTGAAAGAACGAAGCAGCGGTACCACCACAGCGATAAATTGAGAAAGGAAAGAGAACACAAGGACAGAGGCTGTACGACGAAGAGCTACGAGAAACGGCTCGAAGCGATCATTCTTGGGGGTACCTTGACACTTGTGTGTGCTAAGTAGCTGTGACAACGTTATGGTGCCACACTCCTATCGTGCCGGATCGACGTCAGCGCACTCGTCAAGGCCTACCCATGATCGAGTGGTATGATAGCACCGCCTCCGCGCATAAGGACAGCGTGCAGAAGGTCCTCCACCGCCTCAAGCGCGCAGCCGCCTTCTTGGATATCGCAAACTTCGAGAGGCAGATCGCCGATACCTTCGGTGATGCCGCCGTCCTGGGGCTGACACAGGAGGCGTTGACGTGACGCAGACACAGATTTGTACCATGAGGATGAGAACGCTTGACCGGGAGGCCGCCCCATACATGCGCGTAGCGATCGCGAAGATGGCGGTGCCCTTCTACGGTGGGGGCGGCTGAAGAGATGGGACAGGGACATGGTCAGCATAAAAGCAGCGCACATGGCGAGCAGTCTTTTCGGATAGAGGAGGTTGCTACAAGGACGGCAAAGACCAGGGTGTCGATTGCGATAGCGATGGCAGTGGGAGAAAGCGCGGGGTTTCTCTTGTGGGGTATTCTGCAGATGGAGACGAAGACAGCGGATCAGATGCGGAGAAGGGTAGGGATGGGGGGAAGCGGTGAGCGGAGGTAGCAAGGGGTCTGGGGGCATGCGACTGTCTCTCTGTCGACGCGAGGTGCGGAGCGGAGGGTGGGTATGGGAGAGAGGGATGATAGTGAAGTAGAGGGGATTTCGGAAACGTCTGCTGAGAGCGGTGAAGAGGCCAAAGTTCGAAGCGCAGGCAGCAGGCGGGGGCGAAAGGGAAGTAGGGGAATTGAGACATGCCCTCAAGCAGTGATGGAACAAGAAGGCGGAAGTGACTTGGTGGATGAGACGGGCAACAAAAACGGGAGTCCTAAATGGCGGAGAACATCGCAAGGAGAGGAAGAGAAGGCAAAGGGTTAGGCGGCAAAGGGGGGGAGCTGGATCCCCGGGGATTCCATTGATGGCTTGTTGCCATTTTTAAAAACAACCAATTATTTTGTCGTTTCTAAATATCCCACATTGTCAAAATGCGGAGCGCTTTCATCAATCCGCGGGAGGCCATGAACATGATGTTCATGGCCTCCCGCGGTCGCGTTCGGGAATGATTCTTATCATGGTGATAAGAATCATTCCCGAACCGCAACACGCTTTTGGCATAACATTCGCTCACAGCCATTCGCATCATGCACATGATATGCCAGGCTCGGCAAAGAAACCGTCGGTGTCACAGCCACAGCTCGGCGATCATGTTGCATCCATCCTCGTCTCGGCGTCTCCCATGATGTCGAAAGACCCCTTCCCGTCCCTTTCGCGCCTGCCCATCCCCTGCCATAGCTCCCCTCCCTCCTCAGGCACTCCTACTCGCTTTTTTGTGTGCTCTCCGCTGTCAATCTTTTCATCTTCATCAACACAAAAAGCGGACATTGTTGCTATCCAGGGAAGTTCACACCACGCACAGATCCGTGCAAATGCTCATATCAGACCAAATTGGCAATTAAAATTTTCTTTTAGGGAGGTGGGCGACCTTGCCGTAGACGAGGCCGGCCAGCTCGACGGCGTGGCGCGGGACGAAGACCAGGACGACGTGCTTGGTGTAGCTCGTGTAGAGCTTGTCGTGCTCGAAGCGCTCGCCGTCGGGGGTGAAGATGTCGGCCGCGTCGACAAGGGACCAATCAATGGTGGGCGGGCGGGGCGGAGCGCCGGGGTGGGCGGGCGGGGCGGCTTGCGTGGTGGAGGAGGAGGAGGAGGAGAGGGCGTCCGGGCTGGTGTCGAGCGCAGGGTCGAGGGAAGGGAACATGGACGCGTCGAAGTCGTCGACGAGGGCCGAGGGAGGGGGGGGAGGGGCCGGGCAGATGGAGTTGCCGCGGTAGTCGAAGTCGAACTCGTAAGTGGGGAGGTGGGCGAAGGGGCCGAGGGCGGAGGAGAAGGGGGCTGCTGCTACTAGAAACGGCCCAGCAGCATACAGTACTCATGTCGCACAGCAGGAGTCTTTGTCTGCGTGACGCCCATGAGACTTTAGTGAAATGAGGCACACGAAATTATTAATTAAAAATATATTCTTGTTTTTAGTGTTTAGCCACTTGCTACAAAGAGAATGCCAAAATCTGGAAGCCTCAAGTCCTCCGCAGATGCTCCGTTGAACTGTGGACGTCCTGTCTAAGTTTCCAGAGAATTGCGCATTTCTCTGTTCCTCCTCCGGAAGCACTCCAAAACTGGCCAACGTACTCTGCTAGTACTCCGCACCACCTCCTATCGCGGTGAATATGTTTACTAGGGTGAACGTATCGCCTTCGTACCCGGTTTGATGGGAATGCGGTGTTCGGTCGCTCGGATCGTTCCGAGCGCACCGCTCCACAGACTCGAGTGCTTACGCCGTAAGCTCCGGCGGAGCATTTCGAGCACGTGGCCCCGGAACTTGTCATCATCGATGTCTGACAAGTTGATTTCTTTTTCTCAATCCATCGGTGGATTTTCGGGATCCTTTTCCCGGAGGCCTACGGTACCTCCCGTCGTTGTTAGGCCTTCAGGTGTCCGTTCGTCCGTACCCACCTGGTCCTTCTCAACGGTTCCCCTCTCGTCGGAGCTTGGCCGACCGGCTGCTGCCTTCCCGACTTCATCGGTTAAGTCGGTAAGGTGCAGCGCATACGCGATCCCCTCGGCGACGCGACGTTCGGGCGTCAGGATCGCGAGGGGGTTGCGCTTGGCATATCCCACCACGGTGTGTTTCGGAAGCCGCCTTTCCCGTCGCGAAAAATTTGCGACGATGACGTCGAAGGTCTGGTTCCGCAGGACCTCGACGACGCCGTTCGTCAGCCTCACCCCATGTCGGTGTTGGAGTGACGGATTTGGCTCCATGAACACGAAGCCCCTCCCCGTGGTGGTAACGCGCACACGGGCCTGCGACTTTGCGAGGATGGTAACCCAGGGGGCGATTCGGATCGCGTGCGGGGCTTCGTCGCGTGCGTCAGCCCGGCTCGTCTGACGTCCGTGCCGCCTGGTTGGGGGATTCGGCTCCGCCTTCCCGTCGACGATGGCAACGGAGCCACCTTGGCGGAGCTCCAACCGTTGCGATTCAATATCGATACGTCGTACGTGTGTATCGATGAAGTCCGTGACAAGAAGGACCGGCACGGCGAGCTGGTCCGCCACCACGAACGGAATTCGGAACTTCGTGTTCCTCAACCGCACGGACAGACGTACGACGGCCGAGAGCTTGAGTGGGTTGCTATTCGCGCCTCCCAATCGTGGCAGTGGCGCGTCGCGGATGACGTACCGCGACCAATCGGGAGAAAGGTCGGCCTTCCTCACCAGATTGTAGCCCGAGCACGTATCAACGGCGATCATGCGGGGCTTGAAGGCATTTAACTCCGTGGCTATTGAGCCGAGGACGTTGTAAATCTTCGACGTCATAAGACAAATGACGCCGTCGACCACCTTCGGCGTGCCCGGCTCGGCGAGATCGTTCCGCGTGGGCCGCCGGCGCCGGTTCCGACGTCTCTTCCGCGTCCTTCAGCCTTGGTCGCGGGGCGCCCTTCGGTCGGCCGCGTCCCCACGATGAGTCGCGTTCGTACGCGGCTTGATTTCTTCTGGCGGCCCCGGGTCCCCCTGGGTCGGGCCGCCGGTGCGTTCGATGCGCTTCTTGTTAGGCCCCTGGATCACGGTTGCCACAGTGCCTTCCTCCATGTGCGCCGGGCTCACGGTTGCCTCGACGTCTTCGTCCTTCCGCACCGAGCTTACGGGTGTCTCGGTGCGCTTGTGCGGGGTCGAGGGGAATATTATCCGTAAACATTCCCCTCTTCCGCTGGGAATAATTAGGGACGGGTTTAGGTTGGTGCGACAAGAGGGTTCACGCGACCGCGCGAACGTAACCGCCTTTACGGGGGTTTCGAACTACACAAGTTGTCAGTGCTATTCGCTTAGCTATCGTTGGCAAGCGCTTCGACGGGCCCATGGCCGGGCGGATGGGGACACTTTACCCATCCCCGTTGGGCATCTTTCACGACGTAATCGGATACATCGTGACCTTGAGTTGCAACGTCCGGCCGTTGCAATATTTGAAGGGCGGAGAGAACCGGCTCTCCCCCGCCTGCCTCCGTGGGCTGGGAGTTCGGATTCCCAGCCCAATCTTGGAGGTACATGTTGGCGTTCTGTACCCCTTGGGGCAACGGGGGTCGGCCCCGGTCGCCTCGTCCGTCTCGGTGGGGATACCTCGTATCCATCCGACGGGGGTCACGTCGATCTCTTTGATCGGCCCCCGGGGATCGGTACCCGCCTTCACGAGGGGCGAAACGGATGCCCCCACCCGATCGACTCGAGTCACCCCGCCGCGGGCCTCGGTCTTCCGGCGTGGACTGCGGGATGAGATTGGGCATTCCGGGGCGCGGATCCATCTGATAGCGGTAGTTCCTGTACGCCGTGAACTGACGTTGTTCAGGCGACAGGAACGGGCACGCGTACATGGCGTGGCCGTACGTCCGGCACAGCCAACAAATGCACGCACTTCTATCGGTCGACGCGAACGTCGCCGCGTGGCGCGCCTCCTCATCGGTGAGTCGAGGCACGTTAGCCAGCCCGCGGTCCCCTTCTCGACG